TGGGCCTGACCTTGGCTGCTTCCGACCTCCAACGAGTAGCGTACTCACAGAAAGTCTCAGTAGGTTTCTTCTTAAGATTCTGGATGTAGAAGACGTCTGGTGCATTTTTTTTGTTGAACCTGAACTGGTCCATAAAATCCGATGTCATGCTTACCTAATTGGACCATTTCTTAGGATTTTAGCTGATAAACTAAGACAAAGCATCCCCAATAAGGCTCCTCATAAAAAGCTTCATCCAGATCTTTTCATCTTTCTTGACCCTGACAAGCTTGTCACAATAGGTCCTTAGATGAACCCTGGGTTCACCTGTACCATTGAATATTTCGAACTTGGGAGGTTTGTACCCCTCTGGCAGTTCGACATCCGGCTGTATGCAAAGATCTTCATAGTTCAAACCCTCTATTCCTCTATCGCCTTCAACCCCTTGAACTTGGCTTGTCAACTTCATGAGTTCTTTAGCCATGTTCTTAATGAGCAAGTCCTTCTTGGAGGATTCCGGTGCACAGGAGATTGGTTAGGTAGAATTAGGTGTAGTTTCCACATATATGGGGTTGCTTTGATGGGTGCCAGGAACCTGGGTGTAGTGATGGTCATTGGTGGAGTTTTGGGGATCGAGAATGGGTTGTGGTGTGTTTTGGGAGTATGGTAAGTGTTGGTTGGTGGGTACTGAATTGGTTGATGATGATGTGGTGGTGGAGTTGGTATCGGCAATGGATTGATATTTTGGGGTGGAGTTGCGTATTGATTTGGTGTGGTAGGATTTTGTGGCTGTTGATTTTGTGTGTAGTGTTGGGTTCTTTGTGTTTTGTTGGTGGATATCAGGGACATTGAGGGTGAGTGATAGGTTTGCCAAGTTACGGACCTGCTCAAGTTCTCCTTGCAGTTCTAGTATCTTTTGTTCTAGTCTCAAAACCAGATCATTTGGGGTCGAAGTACTACGACCATCTGAAGTCTCTACATTCTCAATATTTTCCTTTCGGATTCCACTTAAGTCGTCCATCTTTGTCTTTCCTTTGCCTTTTGTATTGCTTGGAGAAGGAGGAGGTGGAGGGCCTCTAGATCTTGTATGATATGCTTACGAGGCCAGTATAAGTGAATCAACCTAAGGGGATGAGAATAATAATAGAAATAAGCAAAAACAAAAAGGTAACAAGTTAGTGAGGATTCTGAAACGTTTGCAGTATTTAAACACATATTGCGAAATGTAAACTCGTGTCCTATTTTGGGAACCTCATTGTGCCCAAGGTAGGCCTAGCGACAAATAAACTTAGAGTACTTTTAATGCCAATAACTGCTTCATTTCATAATATAAAAATAGTCGAATCCCAAAATAACACTAAGATAATAATAAGATAAGTCACTTCTTGGCACTTGGCCTTATTACATTTTAGGAAAAGCAAGTAAATATAGCCTATTTGGTCCCAGAAAGACCCTCCCCAGACTCGATATTTCGGACTCCATCATATAGATCTCCCAGCTCGCGTAGTCCCAGCAGCAAGTAGGCTCTAGCCAGATGTCCTCCCTAAGCTCCTTCAACGTTCTGGCAATTTTCAATTCTCTTTATGACTTTGCCTTCCAGCTCCACTATTCCTCGCTCAAGATATTCCAGCTTCCTGTTGGAAGTGATTGCCATCTCTTTCCACTCCTCGATCAACCTCACATTCCTCTCATGTATTTCTTGGTGCTCATTCTTAGAGCCCTCTTGCGCAGCCTGTTGTATTTGACTTGAGCTTCAACTTCTTCATCTATGATTCTGTTCCCTCGACTAGTCCTTGGTGTCACCATTCCTTTCAGATTGTCTTCCAACCATGCCAGGTAGAGAGGCTCGCACCCTGCATGATACCTGTCTGGCTCAACGGTGCTTTTCTCCACAATGATTTTGCAGTGCCACATGTGCTAAACTTGGCACTTGTAAGGGATGTCGTCATCTTGAAAGTCTGCCCTGAAATGACTCATCTTGACAACCCTGGGTACAATCTGTTTCCTGCCTGCTTGCCTCATAACTCGTATAGGGACATATGGGTATATCCCTCTCAACCCGATCAGCACCAAATGCGAAGCATCCCTGGATCAAATAATAAACTCGTCTGTTGGAAACCATTCAAACATCCACTACACCTGTTCCTCGGTCAGATTATCGAACTCTACCCATTCTTTGGCACTTTCTGGCTGAGCAAATCTGTTTGGAATGTAGGTCATCTGCTAGGGTGATGGAAAGCAATATGGTTGTTCCAAACCCTTCGCGAAAATTCTTGACGATAATGACCTTTTTGGAAATGCTCCAGCAACCATAACTACAGCAACAAATTACAACCCTCGAAATGTTTTACCCCTCTTTGACAGCGCTCCAGAGCCTTGTAGATGTCGGCTATGATCATGGGGACTATGGTATATGTCTGTCCATTAATCCTTTTATCATAGTCTTAGCGACCATGACCAACATAGTGTGACTTCTTCCCTTTTTCATTGGGAACACTATCAGGCATAAGAAGCATACAATGAATACAAACACTCTGCGGTGGATGTGACCAAGAGAAATGAGAGAGATCTCATCATGGTAAGTGCAAAAAGACTTGCTATGGCCATACCTTTCGTACAGGTATTCGAAAGGTATGTAGGAGTCCTTTAAGCACACTAGGTCGACATTCTTCTTCAGCCCCATCATCTTCAAAAATCCCCTGCCCGTACGGTTTTCTGGTGCCAATAGTCCGGGACTATCCCAAGTCAATCTTGCAAGCCCTCCTATTTCCTCTAAAAGCAGTGTCATTTCTATGTCACCGAAACGAAATACAACTCTTTCACTATCCCAGAATAGATTGGCAGTCTCGATCAGTTTGTTGTTTGGCTCAATATCTAGCAAGGAAGACAGATTACCCAGGTATTTTCTCACATGCTTCTTGTCGCTTAAGGAAATGTCCTTCCACCAATCTAGCAGCAATGGTGGGATGTTGCTAACCATACCAAATCTGGGGACCTCATTTTTTGCAAAACAAAAGGGTTAGACCTCACCCCCACTGGACTCGACTATTTATACATTTATGATCAACATATCGGCATTTAGTTCTCCAAATTAATGCACAGAACGTGGTGATGTCCATTGGGATTATGGAAAACTCGATGGACTTTGGATAAGGCTTATCTTAAAGGAACATTATGTGGAAAACATAATTGATCCAACTAGGTTTGACCATGATGCATGCACAATTTAACCAGAGTAAGATTTCTATGGGGTTTTAGACTGGTACCCTAAAGCGAATAACTCGAGGGGGAAGGCTCAGAACCGTCGACTGCACCGCTGATCGACTGGTTTTACTGCAAATAAGCCTTTCCGAATTTAAGGGTAGTAAATAGGAAGAGCACAACCACTCATTAAGCGTTGTTATAGGTTTTGATACGCACAAGTGGAATATGATGCGGAGCATGATTTATGCAGCAATTAATAACATGTAGTCAAGTATTTGCACATAGGGAAAAGTAAATACAATATCTAAATAATTGAAAGACGGTTACAGGATAAAAAACAAAAAGACAAGTCAGTTTCAGGGATAAAGAATCATAAATGCTTAAAAATGGGCAGTTAAATTCAAATAAGGGAGAAGGGTACGGGATAAAACATGTTTGGACTAATTTGTAAAAGATAAGTTCGATATGGTAAGAGCCTAAAGGTATCCCCAACCGAGTCGCCATGCTGTCGCACCCCTTTTTTCCCTCCGCGGAGAGAGGTCTGGGTTTCGACATTCATAGGGGTGTGATAACTCCTTTCCTTTTAGGAATTGGATATTTGAAGAGTCACCACCTAATGAGTTATGGTGCGTTAGAGCACCTAGAGTGATTAACTCTTGGATTAGTTTGCATTACCAGAGACTAGGGTAAGGGCTCGAAATGACCTCGAGGGGAAGGTGTTAGGCAGCCCTCTTAGTCCACAACCGTGGGTCCCGGCCGAACTTATATTCACAAATTAGTCCATTACAAATAAACAGTTGAATCAAATAGGTTGCAAGTAAAGCACGTTGGATAACTCAAATAATAAGATATTTTGAACAAGTTGTATAAAACAAAATTTTAAATAGAAAAGAAATTTGGAAAGGAGGAATCCTAGGCTGGTTAGCATATAGGATCACCCCACACAATATCCGGTAAACACTCCTCGATGAGGGGCTACACATAACATTAGCGCGTAGTCATCATATTCCATATCTACCCTTCCCATCCCCTTAGTGGTCATTTAAAGCGAGCGTTTGGTCACCGATCTCTATTGCATGTTGTTACCCATCCATTCTTAATGGTCCTGGAGGGATTTAGGACCTCTACCTATAGGTGGTTCTAGACAGACCCCTAAGGTTTTAAAGGTAAAAATACTAAGGCGACAAGCAAGAGCAATTAGGACTCTTAGCAAATAAGAACAAAAAGGAGCAATTAGAGGCTCAAAGTTTCCTCCTCAAACAAGGCACATGAATAGCACGACTGTGAGCACCTAATTTTTGACCATATTTGAATTTTCACTCACTTTTTATTATTTAAATAGTTTTAAGTTTAATCTCTATATTTTAGCTTTTATTTCACCTTTTTATAGGTTTTATTTGAGAGAATTAAAAATCTCACAAAAAGATTCACGTTTTTAGAGTATTAAATTTCGTTCCAATTTGCTGTAAGTTAGTGATTTTGAATTATTTTAAATATTTTTTTAGATTAGAAGTAGATAATTGTTATTTTAATTATAGGAGTAGTATTTTTATTTTCATCTATTAATCAATAAAAATAAATTAAAAAAAAAGATTTAATTTGGACTAGTTTTTCTAAAATCTTGCTTTGTTCAAATGTCTAAGTCATGGCCTAAATTGGGCCAAACCTTAGCCCAAATAGCTTGACACATCCGCCCTTTTAGAAATAAAGATGAAATCTCAGCCGTTAAAACTCTTTCAATCCAAAGGCTGAGATTCATTTCTTCCTCACATATAAAATACACATTATACTCAAACCCTAACCTAATTCCTAGGGATTCTAGCAGCAGAGGACCCAAGAAAAAATCTTAGATATCTCTCACTTTGCCTGAATCGGCTGCCCCATATCCCAAAAAAAAAACTCCCAAAGGTTTTCCATTTCCAAAGACACACCCACGATACACAAGAAGGAACGACAGCCATTTCCTTCCTTTTTTCACAAAAAATCAACCACGAAAAACGGTAGCCACCCCTCTTGAGAGAATCATCACCTTCTTTCTCGAGAAATTGGAAAATACCTACGATTCTCCTGATTTTCGAATGTCCAGAATCTGATTTTTGTCATGACACTTGCTCCCTTGCGGAGGTTCCGTTCGAGTCACTTGAGTCCAGTTAGTGAGGTCGCCGACGAGGTCGAGAAAATTTCAGCTTGAAGACAGGCCAATCTCATTGTCTTCGGTCACTTCATCGGCAGTAAGTATTTTGAAATGTCTAGAGGTTTTGTTTTACTACTTTATTAAGAATACATATTCTGGAATTTTTTTTATTTTTTTAATAAGTTCTTTACTGTTGATGCTTATGATGTTGTGATTGCTATTTGATTAAAAGTAGTGTTCAAACCATGTTTTGCAACTCTTGATTGGAAAATTGGCATACTATAAGGAGATGATACTAATATTAATTGGATTAGTTATGTCATAAATGGATTTTTGAAGTATTCTTACTTTAAACTATGCAAAGGTGCGGCGGTAACATTTTGCTTTAGAGGCTAAAAAGGGTGCCCAGAGGAGGACCGGAAAAGAGATGAGTCCTCTTGCAACTGACAGATCTCATTGCATTTGTAAGGGAATTTTGGAATATATGCTAATTTGGTCATATGTTAAATAATGAAAAGAATTAAATTTTGTGCTATGTGTGCCTACGTGACTGTCATGTTACCTTGTTAGTCAATGAGTGCTTTGTCTTGCTAATAGAATTAAGAATAAATTTTTCAATAATAAAAGTTGAGGTAGGTTATTATACAGACAACTAATTTATTCATTTTGAGGAGCAAGCATGAATGTATGAGTGGTTTAGTAATGGCTCCAGTCATACTCAGACCCATTCCTCCTTTTATTTTATTAAGTTTGCTAGTTCATTATTTCTTTGTCTTTAATTATCAATGTTGATTTGCTCGAATTTGTTGGGCATGGATTTGTTTTGGATGAATAATGTGGCCGTGGGAAGTTGGGAAGATCGAATCCGTTAGGAATTAAACATTGTTCATATGGCATGTTAGCTACCTAAATTTCGATCAATCAATCTATTTATCGCAATTGTGTACACGTTCGCGTGACATGATTATGATTCCCTTAAAATAAATCGAGGTATGCGTTCGTGCAACTTCAACCAAACCTTTCTTAATAAAATAAACAAAGCGTTATTAATCCCGGACACATTCGTGTGACATGATTTTTGACGAGCCAAAGAAAAGAGTATATGTATGCGTAACTCAATTCTTTAATTACGAATAAATCAAATGATTAAAAGCGGTTGAAAGATAAATGCATACAGGTCCTAAAAATGAGTAGTTAAACAATTTAAGCCAAGTAATAATCACTAAGCGACCGTGCTAGAATTACGGAACCCAAAAATGCCTAACACCCTCTCCCGGGTTAACAGAATTCCTTATCTAGAATTTCTGGTTCGCAGACTTATAAAGTAAAGTCGAAATTTCCTCGGTTTGGGATTTTAAAATAAACCAGTGACTTGGAACACCAAATAAATTATTCCAAGTGGCGACTCTGATTAAATAAAATAATCCTATATCGAAAAAACTCCCATATACATCTCTGGTGTGTAAAAAGGAGGTGTGACAGCTCTGGTGACTCCGCTGGGGATAAGAACCCAAAACTTATGGTTCAGGGTTTAAGAATTTGAGCTTGTTAATGTGATTTTTATTTGGCTTTATTATCGATATTACTGTATTTTGTGGACTTAATGTGCTAATTGCCATTTACCGTTTTGATATTATTTGAACTGTATTTAAATGTCTTCTTACGTCTCCCTTCTGAGTCTTCTAAAAATGGTGCTCACGTTCGCGTGGCCCACTTTTCTTTTAGAGTTATACCAAATAGAATGGGGTTGGGAAAGCAACAAGGCCGAGCAAACTTTCGTGCTCCCGGTACGTTGCCCCCTCCTCGACTCGAGTTTGTCCGCTCGGGTAAGCCAGGTTTAGAACACAACCCCAGGTTTAAACTTAGAATAACATAACCTCATGTCGGATCCCTAGTAGGAACGATTATTTGCATCACGTGCATTTGGCCTTAGGGACTCAACACAGTGGTTGGGTCCGTCTAGGACAGGTGTACCCAAAATAAAGACCATCCTGATGCATCCTACGTGCTATGTGAATATTTATTTGTTTCGGCTTGCATGTTGACCGGTTAGGAAAAGAAAATCAAGAAAAAAAACAAACAAAAAAACAAAGAGTGAGGTAGGATAGAGANAAAGGAAAATGTATTTCAAAAAAAAAGTGAGTCAAATATCATGTTTTTTATGTCAAAACTGACCGAACTACGCGGGTCTGATTCTCACCGTATGTGAGATACATAGGCAAACCTTATCGGTTCTGGCCCCAATTTTTTTTAAAAAAATCCAAAAATAATTTCCTTTAATTTCGTCCTTAGAAACATTTCCTTAGAAAATTAAAAAAGAAATATTTTAAACTAAACAAATAGTTTCCTTCTTTCTGAAGTCTTTCTATGGAAAAAAAATAAAATAAAAAAAATCAAAATCCAAAATACGGGTTTTCTTTATTTTGAGGTATTTTTCTCAAAAATTCAAAAAAAAAATGAATTAAGAAAAATCTTTTCCTTGTTTAAAAGTCTCTCTTTCAAAAAATATTGTTTTTTTTTTCTAAAAAAAAATTGAAGTCCAAAAATATTTTCTCTTTTCTTTAGAAGTTCTTTCGTAAATAAATAAAAACTCAGAAATCCAAAATATTTTCTTAAAAGTCCCTCTTTCGAAAATTAAGAGGCAACATCCAAAATATTTTCTTTCTTCTTTAGAAAAAGAGAAAATAAATGAAAATTCAAACAAAAACATTTTCTTTTTACTTTTAAAATTCCCAAAGTTCAAATCAAAAGCGAATGAATTTTTAGAAGTCTTTCTTTCAAAAACAAAACAAAAATCAAAGTCAAAAAATCAAAAAAATATTTCCTTTCTTCTTTTAAAGCATTCCTTTCAAAAATTCCAACCAAAAAAAAGTTAGTTTATTTAATCCATTTTCGATCTTCCCGAATTACGCAATCTGATTCATGCGGTGTCATGATACGTAGGCAATCCTCATCGGATTCGATCATAGCCATAAAATTAACTGAGTGAAAAATAAACTGAAAAAAAGAGAAAGAAAAATTGAGTGAAAAAAAAAGAGTGACAAAAAAAGAGAGTGCCAAAAAATAAAAGAGCGACAAAAACGAATTGAAAAAAATCAAGAGTGATTAAGAGAGGCAGAAATAAAAGAAAAGGGTACATACTGAAAGGGTTAACTAAGGCCGGGATGAAACATGTAACTGTTCAAACACATGGTAGAAACGTTTAACTGTTTAGGTGCATTGCATCCAAACGTGCGATTTCTTATCTGTTAAGCGTCTCAAAACTAACAAGGTTGTTAGGTGTGCAAACTAGCCAGGTTTTGGTTGTTGGTTTTGTTGGTAGTCTAGCCTTCCCCCCTTCACAAGATCCAAAGGCACAGATGGCCTCCGCAAGCAATCTACCAATCATCGGTCCTGAGGATTGCCCATCATCGGCTATTCTGCAGCTAGAATCAGCAGCTACTGAAGAGAATAAGATGTTGCGTCTCCGCATATTGGAAATGTAGGACGCCTGGTCTAATGGTAGGTAACCACCAAGTGCAATCCCTGGGCTCCCTGAGTTGATCCACAGGTCGGGTGAGGTTACCAACGCCCTTGTGCCCAATCCGCTCATCTCATGCGGGCACCCACCAATGTCGCTCAATGATCCTGGCATGCCTTCTGTGGTTCGCCCCCAGGAGCCAGTTTCCTGGGCACCTCCAATATTGCTCTCTGCAGCACCAGTCTGCACCAGAACACAACCAACTTTACCATGCCCGTATGTTGAGCCTCCAATGTTCACCTTTCAGGGTCCACAACTTCAATCAGAAATAACATATGTGACCATGTACTCTTTCACTCAACCTCCACAACATGATCTCTTGGGAGAGCAAGAAAAGGTTGTTAAAAATCCCGAGCAAAAGGAAATGGCTCAGAAGATGAAGAGCCTAGAACAAAGCCTGAAAAACATTCAAGGTCTGAGTGGCCAAAAGAGTGCCTTATACTCCGACCTCTGTATGTTTCCCCATGTCCACTTGCCAGCTGGCTTCAAGATGCCAAAATTTGAAAGTATAACGGGCACGGAGACCCGGTCACTCATCTGAAACGATATTGTAACTAGTTGAGGGGTGCTGGTGGAAAAGAGGAGCTGCTAATGGCCTATTTTGGGGAAAGGCTCACCGGAATCACTTCGGAGTGGTATACGGATCAAGAAATTACCCATTGGCACGTGTGAGACGATAAGGCTCGAGATTTTTGTTCGCCAGTTCCAGTATAATGTGGAAATCGCTCCCGACAGAAACTCTTTGTCCAATTTGGAAAAGAAAATCACGGAAAGCTTCCGCGAATATGATGTCAAATGGCATGAGCAAGCTACCGGGTAAAGCCTCCAATGGACGAAACTGAAATGGTCACGGTTTTTCTGCAGGCCCAAGAGGATGACTACTTCCAGAACATGATGTCTGTTGTAGGTAAGCCATTCGCTGAGGCTATCGAAAGTGGGGAGATGGTAGAACATGGGCTAAAAAATAGGTCGAATCTTGAGTCATGTTGCTTTTAAAGTCACAACACTAGATGTTCAAAATGGTTCAGAGGATTTGATAAATGGAAACGGGAGAGAAGAAGATGCCATGATGGTTTCAAGCTGGAGGGGGCCCCGCAGGTCATCCAGCCGATCATATATGCTTCCTAAGGTTCCTTAACATTATTATCCTCTTCGATGCTGCTTATGCCGTGGCACCACCTCCTTATGCGGTGATGAACGCGCAACCTTACACGTGGCCACAACATCATACTTAAAACCGAGCTCCACCTCCCATAAATGTCCATCCTTACCAAGCTCCATATAATCCCTAACCAGATATTCCCTAGTACAATCCTTGCCCAAGAGGACCTTCACCCCTATTGGTGAATCGTATTCAAGCTTGTTCCAAAAGCTAATCAGGCTAGATCTATTGTAGCCAGTGGCCCCGAACCGGCCGAACCCCGAGTCTGCCTCGCACCGAGCTGATGCTAGATGTTAATACCACTCTGGAGCAGTAGGACATAGTACAGAGGACTGTTGGACCCTCAAAGGGGTAGTTGAAGATTTGATTGAAGCTGAAAGAATTATTTTTCGGGATGAAGAAGCTCCTGATGTGATGAACAATCTGTTGCCTAGCCACAACATCGAGGCCAATATTCAGAATGATTTGTGAAGCTGAGGAATTTGATCTGGCACTAAAGGCCGAAATAGAAGAAAAGCCGAAAAACGGTCACCAAGCTTGAAAGTTCCCCATCAGACGGGAGTCTCGGTAGCCAGTCTTGCTATCCTTTCTGCGTCTGGATTATCTCAGGGTGTGATCCGGATGTTTTACTTTATTTTCTTACTTTCTGATGTAAACCATTCTATCTTCAAAAATAAAAAAATCAAATAAAATCAATATTTCACTATCCAGGAATGTCTTTTCTCTTAATCTTGTCGCTTTTCTTATTCTCTTTTTAGTTCTGTTAAATGCAGATTTCAATAACATGACATGCTTGCGGACTTCATGCCTAGATCCTGAAAGCTATCAGACCTCGAAATAATGAATCAAGGATTAGATCGTAATGAAGATAAAGTTTAAGGAAATAAAACAAAAAGTTGGAACAACTGAAGAAAAATTGGTTTCAGAATTGGAAAGGTCCATACATTACAACAAGAGTACTGCCAAAAGAGTGTGTTGTACTTGAGACACATCGAAGGAAATGTCCCTAAAACAACTGTTAATGCAAATGTAGTCAAAAAGTACTATGTTGGATCCTTCATATAGCATTAATGTTCTCTGGT